CTCTATATATATATATATATATATATATATATATATATATATATATATATATATATATATATATATATAGCAAATCGGCTCACCGTGATTGTACATATTCCTTCATGGCCTCAAGAAAATAGTGTGGAGTGAGAAGATGATATAACATACGCATTAGAACGAATGCTACAATTATACAAACGATAATGTAATTAAAATTTAGCTTAAAAGAATTAATTAACAGCATTTTTTGAGTCTCACCTTTCTTATGATACAGGAGAGAATAAAGTAACTCATTGATTCCACTATCGCCTTTGGCTTTATGAAAAATAGGTTTCGATTCTAAATAAATGTCGCTATCTAATGCAGTCTGTAGATTTTGGACTACGAACAAATCCATTGCTCTTGCTTTTGGCCATATCTGGAAATAATAATTGTTTGCTATTAATTTAATGTGATATATCGTAGAAATAACAGAATGAATAAGCTTTATCATGATTACTTATGATGTGATCCAAGCATTAGATTATTGTGTTATGGTATTCATTACGTTTTTTCATTACAGAAGCAATTAGTTTTGCTGATGCTAATGTATTAGCAAATAAAAAATACCTCGTCTAGAGCAGAGAAACTATAGTATGATGCGAGCATCTCCTTTATCCATAAGTTGTGGCTTATATCCTTGATATAACCAAGAAACAATTGACGTGCTACCTCGTATGATACCAACTTTGCAATATTAATTTTTCGACCATCATAATCTAAATGTGTAATACGAAATTCTAAATTTCCATCGAAATTAATATCTTCTTCCCTGTAAATTAGAAAAGAAGTTACTTTTATTATTATTTTTGTAATTGTTGTGCAACATTTAACGCGTCCATACATATTCTATATAATACATATATAATGTATTTAAATAAATAAATAAATAAATAAATATATATATATATATATATATATATATATATATATATTGTAACGAAATATGTTTTGTAATGTAACAAATTTTACTTGGCAAATATATTAATTATTATGTATGTTATATATACTATTTGTTAGCTTTAAATAACTTTTTATTTAGTTATATTATTTGCAAAGAATTATTAATCGAAAATTGAAAATTTACTTTTGACAACTTTTTTCTCTATCTTACCATAATTAAATTAAGTCAGTTTCAGAATTATATAAAAAAGTACACCATAAGAAAGATTTCCTAAGTGAATTGTTGTAGCTTATTTATCAAGTGTTTGTTTTTTGTGTGCGTCGTGTTAATAATTTAAATAATTATATTTTTGGCTGGCGTATTGCATACCTATAGAGGACAAGTCCAAGTTTTCCCGCGGCTTTCATTGGACTTTTCGGAAGGACGATATAGTCAATTTTTATTATCTCTTTCGATAAAATGACGTTCATGTTATTCTCAAAATTTGACGTAATTAGACGTATTATTTTGTGTGCGTATTTGAATAATTTATTCTTATATGGTTCATGCCATAAGCGGCTTATATTACGCTTTTCGAAATTGTTTTCGAGACCACGGACCATCATAAACGCTAAGTGATAAGTGGATATCGGGTGTATTTTTATGAAATACGTCGATTTCTTGTCATCTTCTCTGTAAAGATCGTATCTTACGGGCACAGAAAGAAACAATGTGAATAATCTTTCGTGTTTGATTATAATTTCGAAATGTGATTGTACATTCGGATCATCCCAACATGGAAACAGCGCTCGTGTTGAGTTTGGATCGTATATATTCGTGATTAACCACCTAGAATATTGTAAAAAGAAACGTTTGATGGGGAAAAAATTTCAATGTTACCGTAACCTAAGTAAATCGATTCTTTTGTGTACATTAATAGAGGTGATGTGAGAATGACGTTTTATATAAAAAGTTTGTGTCATTATGCTTTGATCTGTACGTGGTGCAACCTGCACATCCGTTCATGTGCAGATATAACTCAACGAATCGTTTAAAAAGTTTTCTATTATTTTGCGAAAAATACTGTAAAATTTGGAGCTATTAATTAAAGGAATTTGTTGCATAATCACGCGTCATGCACAATACAATGTATAACGACATTATGCTTTGAATGGACATTAATCTATAGCAAATAATATTATTTGCAAAATCTTGTGCATTACAATTACATTATTTCTTTATTAATATACCTTTTTTCATATCCATCAAAAAAATATGGAAAACTAATCTTGTTTAAACTATCATTGAACCGAGAATCGTGTTGTATATGTAAGACATGTACTCCAGGCTCTATGAATTCGGAAAAGCTCAGAGTTAAAATTTCATCTTTGGGACAATACACTATTTTATACAAAGCGTAAGCAATTGTTTCTGTTTCAAAACATCCCGGCGGTTGATCCGGCTTCATAATTACTGTGCAGTGAAAGTCCACATCTATATCACGCGCGTTCAGAGTTATATCTGTCGTAGGTTCTTTGACCTCAATTGTGATATCGGTTGAGCCATGTATAACTTGATGATGCGGCAGTATTACAAGATTCACGATATACGTTATCGGTATCACATTGGTAGATAACTTCCTAGTGAGCGAGCAATTGTTGCTGATGTGCTCGTGAGAAAGCAAAAGATCAGTCACAATAAATATTGTGGAAATGCTGATGAGTAGTCGTAGAAATTTCACCTCCATTTCTGACAAAAATATCTGGATAAACAATTTATTTGTTATTTTAGAAAACTGCATTATAATATTTAGAACTATGTTATAATATCTATAATATCTATAAAAGATTTTTAACAAATGTTCATTTACTTTGATTATATTATATTAGTAAAAAGGAAGAATGAAGAAAACGAGTAGCAGGACAGAGATTGTATTGTTTATCATAAAAGGAGTAATATGTACTGGTGACATGTAGATTATACTTACTTCACGCTTATTTCAGGCAAAACAAATAATTATCCTAACATTTCGCTAATGCTGACAAGCCGAGATTAATTCGCAGAGCAAACAAAACGATCATAAATCTGAAATATTCTAAAAGACATTTGAAGGGCACATAGGTGGGATTAAAACAGCAAAACTTTTAAGATAAGACATCAACAATATATCAGTTATATAGTTTGAAATAAAGGACTTGAGTTTCCTGATTAGTCAGCTGACAACTCCGTGTTGACGGTGGTTACATGATTGAAAACGACAAAAGATGAAATATTAGGCGAGAAAATAGGTCTGTTTGTTTCCGGAGAACTTGTCCATCAATGCAGATTATTACAATAAGAGAGAATTAGAGTGAAAGTATACTTGTTAATATGCCAGTGCAAAAGTTCATCACAAACAAACAGACCTAATGATATAAATAAACGACCTATTTTTTCCTGCAAACCATAGCGTTATTACTGAGAGAAATTCGTGCATATCATATGTAATACAATTATGGAAGTGCTCCGCATATTGTGTTTATTTGTGTTGATGTTTAATGTCTACAAGTAGTTATTCGGTTATATTCGGCACAAAGCCATATAGCCAATTTTCTATCAAAACAAGGCGATCTATTACATTTATTTTACGATCATGTTATTTTGCCAAAAAAGGAGTATTCGGAGCATTTCGCAAAAGTATAGAACAGATTTTATGTATCATTTTAAGGATATATCTGTTTATTTAGCCACGGTTTGCAGGAATTTTGAATACAGTTTTTTTCGCTTCTCAATTCAATATGACTGATCAGAAGCCTTAAATAAGCTCAATTATAATATACATAATATGTGATACAAATGTAATACTTTTGACGGATATTAGAGTAATTTCTCGCGAGAAATGATGATAAATATATTTAACTTAAAATGTTAGTATAATTGTGTAATAATATTTAGAGGAATATAATCTCCTGGAAATTAAGAATGCATAATTAATACTTAATATTTTTTAATCTTTTAATTTTACTTAATCTTAATCTTACTTAACCTTTTTTTTCGCGAAATTGTACATGTACGAAAAATATCTTTCAAATTGCAAATTGTTAAACCAGATTTAATGTGTTGCACTGGTTATTACTACTTCTGAAGACAAGAAATATAACTTGGAAGTGTGATATCTTACCTTTTGGACGACTACAATATAAAAACGGTAACAGTCGTTAGTAGCGTTATATATACGATATGAATATTGACAAAGCAAATCCTATCCTGTAGCCTATCATGGTATGAGCAAAAGATCCCCCAATATACTAAACTTATATTTAAAATGGTTTGTTATGAAAAACGAATTAAATTACGTAACCGCCACTAAATATTATTTTACACGATACATTCGAGGCATTCAGAAAGAGAAAGTATATATAATATATCGGTACAATACTTTAAGAGAGGCAGTATATAAGAGAAAGTATATGTATAAGTAATTGACTATTGTTACCGATAATATTGACCGTAGCAATAGTGTGTAATTGACAATTTTTAATTATGAGTTTCTGTTCATAAGTTGCTGTATAGAATTTAACATTTACTTTTTCCTGGGCAAACTGCAAATGTGATTTTTATTTCAAATATTACTTTCAATAGGGTATATAATTACAGTCCATAGAGCAAGATAATTGCAATTAAATTGGCAACAAATGCTTGTGTATTCGGAAATGTAAAATTACGTTTTTAGTTGTCATTTCCACTACGGACCAAGTGATACTGTTTCTTCAACCGACCAACGTTGGTTTGACAACCTAATGCGTTGTTATCATCCTAATTAATAATCTATAACGCGCGAGAATGAAGAGAAACGCGAAGGTCGTTGTATAAGAGTTATAAGGTGAAAAATAAAAAATAATATTCTCCGCGGAAAATACGTATGTATCTTTTTTTAAGCACTCATGCTTTTTTGTATATTTTTTTATTTCTTCTGTCGACTCTTGTACGGTATAAGTTACGAAAAAATATAACATTACTTTATGCTATAAATATCCTTCATATAATATATATAATATATAAAATAATATAAAAAGCCCACACATTATAATTCGTATAAATAATGGTAAAAATTATAATTCGTATAAATGATGGTAAAAACTATGCATCAGCTAGGTTACATCACTATAAAACATTAATCCTGAAATACTGTAAACTTCCTTCGCTGTTTTAATAGCTGATCTCGTCGTATTTCTATCAGTTTTTCAACCTTGCTCCATAGTTCATAACCAACAAACTCCGTGGTTATGCGCATACTTATCTAAAACACATTACGTGGATATTAATTAGTAATAAGGTAACTAGTCACTAAGGCCAATATAATGATAATTCGCAGCATATTTTCTCATGTTTTAATAATTAATGCAGGTTAATATACACGTGCTTTATTTAAATAAATAAATATAAAATAAAAAATAAATACTAAATTAAATAAATTAATAACAAATGCATAATTGTAAAATTTACCTTACTGAGTAGCATTTCGCTATGCACATTCATAACGATATCACCGAATAGAGTTAGATTACCGTGAAAATCGTGGGGGAATCTATAAAATTAAAATATATTATATTTAATCAAAGTAGACAAAATTACATCTAATAATAATAAAGAGTATATTTCTCATGAAGAAGAATACCTATCTATTATTTGGAAATAATTATTCAAGAAAAAATTCAGCACTTTTTGCTTTGCAACATGTTTCTTAATAATAAAACGATGTAATTTTCCCATTGATAATTTTGTTGTATTGATCTCATAGGGTCTCACAATCGACATCCATTCCAAATAATGTAATAAGATATTTTCATCTTCTATACACATTAAGCGTTCTAAAATCTCCATATTTTCTCCTTCAACGCCTTGTTGCCAAAGCAGTTTCGAAACAGTCCTATTTACGTTCATCATTCCGGTACAGTACATCCAGTTTGTCCACCGCGTAATTCTACGACATAAGCAATTTAAAGAAATAAGCACTTGTAACAAAAATTTAACCCTTTATTTAATTCTTCGATCATGCAATTCATCAATCATTATGCAAGATATAACATATTAAAAATTATTATAAACAATAAGTAATATTATAAACAAACAGCAATTTTAAAGAATATTTACATGTTTTGTTCACTATTGTGTATATACGCGATCAATTTTTTGGCAGTGACCTTTCTGCATTCTTCATGGCCGAACTCGCAAGCCCACTTTATTGCTAGTAATCTTAGCGGCATCGTCATTTCAGTATCGGATTTTTGTTCTTCGTATCCCACTTTACGAAGAAGTGAATTCAATATAAGCAGAAACTTTGCCTGGAATCCGTTACGTAACATGAATTTTAAATAACATTGAACTCTCTTTTATATCTTGGAGTGAAATTTTGTTCGAAAACCAAGTAACAGCTGAGTCCAATTCGAGTTATTTTTTATTCTTATAAAGTGAATTCTCTAATCGGAATTATTCAGTGAATATTTTCACTCGAAATTGAAGAATGATTCCGAAACATTCCACCGTCAGCGAAATATATTAACTCCAATCGAGTAACATATCATAAGAAATCAGAATCTTATCTAAGCTTGATTGAGATGTTCACTGTTGTGATATCGAGCGGCAGTATTTTCACTATTATCTCGATATTATCTACTATTACTTTTTATCCCAAGATATTTAGAAAACAGGTATCATAGCAGATAAGTATAAAACATCCATATCTGTATTTGCAAGTCAATTTGTTATATTCTTATTTAATTTCTCGACGATTTGCGACAACTGATAAAGTATAAAATAACAACTGAAAAGTTCTGTCCGTTAAATATGTTTTTTCTCACCTTTGTCGATTCGCCTACTGAAAACTTTAAGAAAGTCGACATATACGAGAGAATGTTAAACATTGGATGCCATACTATATAATTAGTCTCGTTATTTAGAAACTTTATAACATTGAAGAAGAGTAAAGGTTCTATTTTCCCAGCTGTTGTAAAGTAAAATGCATCGTTGACAATCTGTGCTCGATTGAGAACAGCTATGCGTGTAGAGTTGGCAGACTGTAAATACTTCGCAAGCAGTAACCAATTCTGGCTATCGTAATTAACTCGATAGTAACCTGTCGTAAAATAAATTATCTATCTAAGATATTTTCGAACTTGTGTATCAAGAAGTGATTTTGAAAGATATCGTTGCACTTTTTATCCAAATTTACAATCTGTATATTCTTAATAGAATATATTAAACTGATTATGAGATACTTGCTGCAGTGAAAAATTCTACAATATTTTTACATATGTAGATATATTTCCTTTTTTACTACATATTTTTAATAGAATAATGTAGCTTTTTAGTCTGTGCTTACCGAATAGTTTCATATTGACTAAAAGAAAATGATTTGATTCAATGTTAGTAATAGATGTTGTTTCATTTCTTTTACTCCAAAAGAAATTAATGTACACTTGCATGTCTGGCGTCATAACATAAGTAATGGGTATAATAAAATTGAAGGTATTATTAGAAAATGTTGCATTATACGTCACTGTTTTAATATTATAGTTCCGAGTAAATGTTATTTCTGGGTGGTGTATTTCCGTTAACCATAAGTCCATTATTTCTTTTATTGTATATATTTTATGGTATCTTTGAGGATATATTTGGTCAACGATTGTCCAGAAATTTGTGTTGCTGGCGAAACAATGATAATAAAAATATAAATTTTTAATTTCAACAGAAGTCTCTCTCTTTTCAAAGATAACTTGGTAGAAGAAAGTGTATAATTCATTCAATCCTAAATGTGTACATAATATAATTATGTATATAAAATAACGTAATGAAAAATGGTTACGCAACTAATTAGCTAATCATACGATAAAACATTGTATGTGTACTTTTTGCTTAACATGCCTCGAATTTGCTTAACATGCCTCGAATTATTAACAAGAAGCTATCTTTGCGTAAGCTTCCCCGCTAAGATACAAAAGCCGAATGCACAATTTCAAGTAATATAAAATTTTCAATTAAAATACAATAAAAAATACATATATAATATAGATATAAAAAAGTATATAAGAATAAAATTATATAATTATATTATTACATCAATAAACTCACCGTGATTGTACATATCTCTTAATAATCTCATCAAACTTTTGTGGAGTGATCAAATAGAGTAACAAACGAATTATGGCGAATGCTACAATGATTTAAATCGTAATGAATACGAAATTTAGATAATTTACAACAATTGATTAACCGTATTTATCAAGTCTCCCTCTCACCTTTCTTGTGATACAGTAAAGGGTATAGTAATCCATCAATACCATAATCCCTCTTAGATTTATGCATAATAGGTTTAGTCTCTAAATAAATGTCAATATCTAATGTAGAAAGTAAATTTTGGACTACGAACAGGTCCATCATTTCTTCTCCCAACCATATCTAAAATCAATAGATTTTATTATATCGTCAGAATTGTTCGAAATAACAAACTAAATAAGCACTGCGTGACTATTTATGATATGTTCAGAAACGCTTAACTATACAGAGTTAATTACAGAGTTAACATTGCGTTTTAACAGCTGAAGCAAATTCTATATTAATTCATTAAGCATTTTATTAATTCTCATTTGAAAAAATTACCTTATCTACAATGTAAAAACTGTAGAAGGACGCAAGTATCTCATCAAGCCATTTATCCTCAATGTGAACATGCGAGTTCATTACACCGATGAACAATTGACGTGACATTTCGTATGATACCAACTTCGCAATATCAATCATTTTTCCAGGAGAATCTACTCCTTCCTTGTACATAACATCTTTTTCCCTGTATGTTGAAAAAAGCTACTTTTGTAAAAAGTCTTCGTTAAAGAAATTAATTGTTATGTAACATTCAACGTATCCCTACATATGCTGTGCATACTTTGGAAGCCTTAATCTTCTATTTGTTTGTACTATTCCGGCAATTATCAAAATTATCAAGTTATCAAAGGAATATGCAAAATCATTTCCTGCAGCATAAATTTCGAGATTATTTTTTTAGTAATAACATTATATGTTTTCATTATAATATCCACGACTACGTTTTAAGGATATGTAATAGTAAATAATAAAAAAATGTCGATCACACATAGAGAGAAAGATTCGAACGTTATGTCATATAAGCACTAACACGATCACGCTACACTTCTTGTATTTCTTGTACATACACGTCTTATAGAAAAATATGTATTATGGTTTGTCTTGTATACCTGTAAGCAATTAGTCCAAGACGTCCCGCAGACTTCATCGGGCCATATGGGAGTATGACATGGTCAATTTTATTTATGATTTTAGACAAAATGATGTTTACGACCCAATTAAAATGCAATATGGTATGATATGCTACTATGTGCATGTGTGTGACTGATGGCGTTGCTCTCCCTTCTTGCCACAAATAGTTCATATCGTATTGTTTGGTGTTTGTTATCAAACCATGGACGAACATAAATGTGATGGAATAAGTAGAAATTTCGTCAAAGTGCGTGTAAAACGTCCTTCGTACATTTCTATCTTGATAATCATACCATTCAGGTACACTCGAGAAGATCTTATATGATATATCATATTTCACTGTCATATGCAAGTATTCTTCTATCTCCGTATCATACCAGTTTGGAAACAGTCTTTTAATTGCGTTTGATGAATACATGTTGGTGACAATCCACCTGCCGTATTTGAAAAAGGAATTTGGGTAGGGAAAAATTTTCAGCCGTATTATAAGCTCGATACACGATTGATTGATATACTTTCATAAAGATCATGTAGATACGGTGTCTAATATTGAAGAAGTATGTATTACTACATCTCGAATTATATAAACTTTATACAAAGATTTCAGCGCATCGTATACTCTGGTGGAAAAATATTTCTTATAACATCTTTTAAACTGCAAGGATATCTTCTACGCTTATGAAATGTTTCAAAACAATCTGGACATATCCGGATTTTATAAGATTCTTACAAAAGTTTCTTCTCTTATTTTTCGCTATGACGTGTGAGGAAAAAAGATTCGTTTCGAAAAAGCTCAGCAATATAGAGATTAGTGCTACGAATTTTCAAATTCTTGCGGGGGCATTTAAGAAACCCGTTAAAATCCACAGGAAACATATGAAAATTT